CATAACCAGGGGATAGTGTCAGTATATTTGGGTAAATCACAGACTTTGTTTATCTTTTGTGAATCCACAGAGCAAAACACAGACATTGGAACATAATTTCTGAATCACATGAAGTCCCCTCGTAATACTAGTCCTGTGTAAATAGGACATTTAAGCATCAGCAACTTAACTAAATTGTATTGTATGATGTATCATGTATAGCCTGTTTATAATCAGAGCTAAATTATCATTCCCATAACCTGCTTAACCTGATACTGTATGAATATTCACACTGAAATCTGCCATGGCCGTGGTTAGGTTCTTAAAATGACTGTAATCGCATCAACAGTTAGATTGATCATTATTTTTCTTATTTTGAAATTAAATGGTGACTGTAAGATTTATTCATTATTATTATTATTATAGGGGAGAAATGTGATGTTTGTTGTTGTGACGTAAGCTTGCAGTTTGGATGTGTGTTTGAGTACCAAGAAACATATTAATGATATCAATCAAATATGTGAGACTGAATACTTTTCATCCTGTTTTCCAAAGGGTGCCGACTACCTCAAGACAAAACAGCAGCTATATCTCAAGTAAGTTGTATTAAATTATAAGTGCATGCTGCAGATTCACATCACAGTCCTTTAAATGAATGACTAATATTTTCTTCCCTGCCACAGTTACTGCACGAACATCAGTTTCTACTTGGTGCTGAAAGCAAAACGGATCCCTGTTCATAACCACCCAGTGATTGAAAGGCTGCTCACCTACAGAAACGTGAGTCCACACACTGACATTAACACCTGCTGCCAGTTGAACGCACAGTATTAGTGATGTATTTTCACCCCGTGTGTCAAGAAAACTGCACATACAGAGTTTTTATTTTGGATGGCATGTTTCCCACACAAAGACTTTACTTGGACAGGGTGTTCAGCAAGATTCGAACAAGGTGCTTTAAGTACTTGAATTTGTCATTTAGAAATCTAAGTACCAGAAGTCCTTGAAAAAGTACTTGATTGAGTGGAGAACACAATGATAAATTATTTTATGAAACGTTTTACATTCAGTAAATGTTTTAAACTAGGAAGCCAAGAACGGCGGTGCTTGATATTATTTCCTAATTCTGTATGAGCTCAGCATATGAATGGGTTGGTTAACACCAATAACTAGTCAGCGCTAGGATGTTTGGCTAGCCTGCAGAACACTCACACCAGAGAAGCATCAGCTGTTAGCACAAATTTTGAGCTGTAATGCGGCAGTAAATAAGCAGCCGTGTGTGTCTGACTGTGGAGGGTGGAGCTGTTGAATGGATTATTTAGTTTGTTGCTTGTGGGGATGGAGGGACGACCACACTGTGCTCTGAGCTCTGTATAGTTTCCTGCTATTTTGTCCTTTGCCAATCACATGCCTGAATAATTTAATTAATAGTAAGTTCACTTGAGTAGCATAGTTGCTCCATTTTACAAATACTTTGCTGAAAACAAAAATGAAAGCTTGAAAAAGCACTCGAATTTGAACTGATCCTGTCTGTTTCATATCTGTGGGAAACACTGGTCATACTGGTTTTGATACTGCTACTGTATGATGTGTGATAATGGCAGCAATATCTGGCTGCGCTGGCACATCACATTAGTTACAACACTGTCTGACTGTCTGTTCAATCCCTGCCTGCAGCTCATCAATGAACTCGGTTCAGTAGATGCTCGTCTTGCACCTCAGCTTCGCAAGCTACTAGCTGGTGAGGAGAAGGATGAGACCACCAGCAGATCAGCAGTGGGCAAAAAGACCAGAGTGTCCAGTAAAAAGGAAAAGGTGAGATTCATGTTGATTTTTTTGTCCTCCATACACAGATGTCACTTTGAATCTGTTGCTGACGTGTTAATATGGAACTTGAATAGTGATGAGTGCATGCTGTTTGCAGGATTCTGAGGAAACTCTGCCTGAGGTCGAGGAGGATTCAGACTCCGACCTGGACGAGGAGGCGGCTCTGCGTTTCTACAGAGAGGTGGAGCAGCGGTCCAAACTGAAAAGAAAGGGCAACGAGCCAGAGGCTGAAGAGTAAGTATGGTCTGAGTCTTTAAAATGGAAGTTCGGACAAAATCAAGAGGGGATTTGATAAATGTCAATTTGTCGCAGGTTGGAGGAGGCTGAAGATGAGGAGGAGGATCCCGATGCTAAGAGAGGAATCACTTACCAGGTACAGAGTTACAACCACTCACACACTGAAATATTAGTGTTTACAGTCAGATGCTCTGAACCAGACAAACTCTTATTACTTATTAACAGAACACCATCAGATCAGGTGATTATGAACATTTACTGGCAATTGAATGGATCCTCACAAGGATTATGTGGACATATAGGCAAGATATACAACTGGAAGGTGTTGGTTTTTATGCTGGATGAACCTGAATTGATAATTTTATGCACGGTTACATTATACAAACAAAGTTAAATTTTTAAGTTGGTCTCAGGGGCCGCACACATGGTGCGTTTTCTTTGCCTTCAAATTAGTTGTTTGCAGTGTAGATGATGCTCATCGCAGCTCGCACGTACTCCCGATCGCCTGTTTTTTAGGGCGCAAGGGCTGCACCCGGTTCAACTTCTGGAACACAGCAGCACACACACATTTGATGAGGAACAGCCAATCACAGCTGGCAGAAATCTTTCCCTCCTTCTATAAATATCAGTCTGTGGTAAATATGGAGGAGAAGTTTATTATTTTAGTGCAGGGCTATCCACAGCTTTACATCTGTCCCACAACCAATATTCGACGCCTACACACTTAAAAAACAGCACCTGGAAGATGATCAGCTCTGCACTCAGGATTTCATGTAGGTAGGCTGTTATGGTTTCTCAGCAACTTTAGACGCAACCTGCCTCTGCGCTCTTGAAAGCTGGCATAGAATAGGGAAAAGAGTTGCACATAGCACCTGACCTCGTGTTTTCCAGGCAGTCAAAGACATGGAATGTGTACAGCCCCTTAAAGCAGCGAAGGTCTTCTCTGTATGTGGACTATTTTATTCCCACACTTAGGTAGACAAATCTCAAAGTGGGTAAAAAAATGTATTGTATGTTTTATAGTTTTTTTTTTTGGTCATATAAGCTACAGGAAAGCAACAAGTAAAACAGAGCAAGCTTACGAAACTGTATTTTTTCAATACATTTCAACAAATGGTGCCTTTCACACTAGGGCTAGGTAAGGTAATTAATTGAATTTAATTTTCAATTCTGATTTTGGCTTCCTACAATTTTAAAAACAATGTAAGTGAGATAAAAAAAATAATGGGAATTCTGTTTTGCAGTGATGCTCTGGTTTTGTCTTGTATTATAAATCCAGGACGCCCCTTTCTTTCACAGCAGTGTGCTCAACTTTGTGACTTTCTCGCTAGATTTAGCAACTTTTCAGACCCTCTCGGTGATTTTATTTATAAAAAGTGAGCAATGACTCATTCAGACCATCATGGAAAAAGTGAGAAATATATTCAAATATATTATAATCCATTCCCCTGCATGCTGCTCTGAATAATTGCAGGCCATGGCTCTTCTGCCAACAGTGCGGGGTCTCGCCCTCTCCTCTTGTGCCACATTTATATATTATGAATTATAGGGGTGCTGCTGAATAGTTGACTATTCAACGACTCGATCTCATAGTTGAATCATCGCAGTTGCATCTGTCTGTGCTTAATGTATGATTTTTCATAGAATTGCTTTGTTTCTCTTTTCACATTTGCATCTCTCTTGATCAATCTCCTTCAATCCCTTTCAGTGCTGTGGTCAACACCACTGACGCACATACACACACCTACACATGCACCCCTGACACACAACAAAAAGCACTAGATGGAACACCTCATAGATCATTTTCATGGCAGACAATTTGACATGTCATAGTAGGTGAAGCACCGACGTATTTAACTACATTGATGATGGCTGCTTTCAACATAGGGGAGGCCCTGAATTTGCATATGCTGACTCACTTGAATAGCTAATGGGACACTTAATGAAACTGAGCCATCGTGACTCTTGTTTATTTCACCAGTGCTTTTCCTGCTGTGACAAGTCAAAATGTCTGCTGTGAAAAAGGTTGATGAGAAAATAAGTTCTTATGCAAAGTCAAGAAGACAAAGTGTTTATTTGGGTGTTTCAGCTCTTTTGTCTGCTGCGGAAAAAATAAACTAATGTCGCAAATGAGAATATGGATCAATGAGCAAAAAAAAAAAAAACAGTTGATGGTAGGCGAGACTTTACGAATCAGATCAACTGTAAATTCTTGGTGAGGGACACCCCTAATACATTATTTATGTCATCTATGTAACTTTTTTTTACATTTTTTATTTTTTCATTTTTCAGTTGAATTATATTCAAAATTCAAGAAAATCCACTGTTAAAAATACATAAAAGTTCAATAAATGCGTGCTTTCAAAGTCAAAGAGTCAGCTTGTCAAAAAGTAGTGATCTCAGCATTGACTGCAATAATCAGGATTGTGATTTTTGTTGTAATCGAGCAGCCCTATCTCACACTGTACTCACGCCATGCATTCCACATTAATCTTTGTCATGTCTGTACAGTTTTTCTAATTTAGCATCTCTGCCTATTCCACAGATGGCCAAAAACAAAGGGCTCACACCAAAGAGGAAGAAAATTGATCGTAATCCCAGAGTCAAGCACAGAGAGAAGTTCAGACGGGCCAAAATCCGCAGAAAGGGCCAGGTGTGTATCCCATACATTCATCTTTATTACACTGCTGAAATGCATCATGACGCTCCCGGGGACTGTCTGTGGGCTCAATCAAGAGCATATGAAGGTATGTCAAACAGGTTTCCAAAACCAATATTGACACTGCTGTTCCTATACACCAGGTGCATGAGGTTCGTCGGGAGGAGAAGAGATACAGTGGTGAGCGGTCTGGTATTCGTGCTGGTGTCAAGAAGAGCGTCAAACTTAAGTAACCACGCAGGAGTCCAAAGTGTGCTGCCAGGTGTAGCTGTGAGGTTGAAAAAATACCAATCGACTCTACTTGTAATTGTTTATTGTAGGTGTGTAATAAAGCATATCGCTGATTATTCAACTGTCAGTCACTGTTGTAGAAAAGACATGGAAATGTTTTATTGTTGTGGATCATTGCACAGTCTGAATAAACATTTGATAAACCTCCAGTAACTTATAGTCCCTGTACAGAGACACCGCTAAAAGCTCAGAGGCCCACTGTTTACAGGACAAGGGAAGGCATGACGTGTTTATGGTTACAGTTATTACTAAGGTTATGCAACATACTGAATATACAGTAACTTTTCAGCACAACAGGTGAGTATGAATTTAAGCCAAGCTCAGGATCAGGTAAGAACACAGACACAACTTCACAGCTGCGTCACTGACTCAGACATGCTGTGTACACGATGACTGTCAAACCCCTTGTTGAGTTATGAACTTGTCGTGTGCTGACGTCAGGTTGCTCACTATCCTGTCCTCGATCTCCACCTCATTCTTCACATCCTCCTCTGTGAGGATCAGCTCAGCCTGAGTCTCAGGGGTCACCACCACCACATAACCCCGCCTAGAGTCCAGCACGTTGGCCACCACCGCCTGGTGCCTGTAGGTGTCCAGAGCCCGTCGAGCTTTGTCCAGCAGGATGGCTGCGTCTGTCTCCAGCTTAAAGGATATGACAAAAGCCTGAGGTGCCCAGTCCTTCACCAGCGGGGACAGTATCTTGGGGACCATGTTCATGCTGAGCTGAAGGGGAGGAAAAAGAGATTATAGCTGAGTTGAGGTGGTGCATTTTGAGGGGGGAAAAGGACGACGACAAATGACAAATACAGTAGGGTCCATTAGTAAAATACGCCCGGATCATAACTACCTTAACCTACCTTAACCTACAACAAAGTGATTTTTAGAAATGATGTATCTTGAACCCACACAGCACGATGCCTCAGTAGGCATTAGCACGTTCATTTTGCATCACCCAAGCCTCAAACTCAACCTTAGACACGGAGAGCAACATAGACATAGATGGGCGTCACACTATGACTATGACACTAGCAGGGTTCCATATAAAGGCAGATACAAAACTAGTGTCAAAATTCAGTGAACAAGACAATTTTCTGAGAATTCTTGTACTTCACCTAGACAACAGAGAGATGTCTGTAGTGTATTTTTTACAAAAACTGCTTCATCAGTGACAAACTGATGTTTTAAAATGCTCTTATTTCCATTGACTGCAATAGTTTACATGAGGACAGAATTCAAAATACTGTCAAAAATTCCATTTTTGAGATACAATAGTTAAGTCTTTGAACAGAAAATCTTGCACACTGCTCAGCTTCACAATTTATTAGTAAGAGTGTTGTAGTAATTAGTACTAATAAATTGTGAAGCTGAGCAGTGTTCAGGATTTTCTTTTCAAAGACTCAAGTGACATTTTCCAATGCACCTGCATCTGAGATAATTGGATGTGCCAATACCTCTCTTCAAACAGATAAAATTCTTAAATTCATCACACTGAAGTGGCTGGACTGTTTACGGAGGACAGTCTTAAGATGCTGTGTAGCGATTTTGTTGTCGTTTGAGCAAAAAATATGGGAGATAGGTTTAATTCCAGGTGTATAACAATTTCTGCTCATTTGTGCACATTTTAGTGACAGTTGGCAAAGTCATAACACGTACAACTCTCTTGTTATGAGTTTTCAGTGTTTTAAACTTAAGGTGGTTGCTGTATCACATCATCAGGACTATTAGCCCCAAATTTTTGTTGAGGAAACTTAAAAACTGGATCTATGTGCGAATTTAGGTTTTGTTTATTTCCATGCATGATTGGGCAGATTTCATGGTAGGAAGAAGAACTAGAACATTGGGAAAAACAATTAAGGTAAAGTAAGGTAAAACTTTAATGTCCCTGAGGGGCAATCTGGAATACAGACAAAAGTCATAAGTAAACTAAAAGAGAAAGTACAATATTTAACACAGAGAATCCAGAATCACACACTGTCGGGGTAAATCATGGACAATTAGTGGTCACTGCTGGTTAAGATAAGTGATAGCAGACGGAACAAAGAATGATCTGTACCGCTTAGTGCTACATTTAGGGAGGCAAAACCTCCGCCCTTAATTACATTGAATTCTCAAAGGTTATGAGTCTGCAGCTATGCTAGCAGCTCTTCAAGGCTGCACTTAAGCACAGCGGTGCTTACAGCTACATGGACAGACCGACAGACCATTCCTGCTTGCAAGGCTAGAAACAAACAAAGAAATCTTACATGTACATTTGCTAGAATTTTGTAATGTTTTACTCACTTGAAGAGGTCCATTGGAAGACTGGATTTTGTGTTCAGGCATCTCAGATGCTGGGATGTAGAAGTCGGACACAGCTGCAGCCAAATAAAACATGGCCTTGGATCCTAAGTGCAGAATCAACATTTAAGGAGTTATTAATATTAACAGTCACAAATTCAACCTGTAAATAGTTGTTGATCTGTACCTATTGTGCTGAGTGCCTGTGCTGCTGCTTTGAGTAGATGCAGATACTCTGACAGAGTGTTGAACTCAATGGGCAGGAGAAGTTCGCCTTCTTTCACTTCCTGGTATCGCCTCAATGCTTTGGCAATGTTGGGAAGTACCTGCTGGTTAACCACCACTTCACAGGAGTTACTGGATGCCCCTTCTCCGTCTTTAAAATTCAGGGCATCCAGCATGTTAATGGTTGAGAACATGCGTGTGTAGGGGTAGAGGGAGCGATGCCTGTGGAGGAAAATGACGGCGTAGCCTGAGTCTATGAAATACTCTGCTGAGGAGGCTCCTCGTCTGCCGCTGCTGAAGTTATCGAGGAAGCGAACGGTGCGGGACTCAAGGGGAACTTTGGTGCCTCCTGATGTGATGAGTACCACCCTGCGACCCGCTGCAGCGTGATGCTTGGCGAAAGCAGCCATCTTCTCTTTGACCTCCTCGACATGGGAGGGAACGGCAAATTCTTCCGCTAACTTCCCATCAATGGAAGATATTCTGGGTTCAGCCATCACCTGAAGAGACACAGAGGATTCAGTTTAGCAGAATAGTGATACGACAGTCAGAATGTGAAGTCTGTGTTTAATGGGGAACCTTTGCATATCAGCCTGTCTGTTAACAAGTTGTATAATATCTTTTGTGGGTCTAGAGGGAGCTCTCTAAAGTTTGAGAAAATAACTTGATGATGTAATACGGGATGTACAGCACAAAATCAGATACAGCTGCAGCCAAGTAAAACACAGCATTCAATCCTAAGTGCATAATATACACTGGAGTACATTTGACAAGCAATATACTCAGCTTGGGCTCAGAGACCACATATTTTTCACAGAAAGTGTGAGAAACAAACTGGGGGCATTAAGAGACATGGACATTTACCAGGCAGCAAGTGTCTAATACAAGACCACTGAGTTGCATGATGGGAATTGCCTAGAGGGTCCAGATATTTTGGTCTCTACGGTATCGAACTTTGCTGCTTTTTAAAATTCCATCTTCTGTATGTCCCCAAACTTTATTAAAGTGCATTCGTAAACCACTAAAGTAGTACTTGAATCAAGTCAACTGGGCCAAGACAATGCAATGCAGGTATCAAGGTTTCTGCATGAACTGTATATTGACTATTAAGTAAAATGATATTGCAGCATATAAATTAAATTAATTATATTGGAGGTTATTTAGAAGCAGTGATTCCAGAGTTTGTCCAACCAGATTGTGCTGACAAGCAGGGCATGAAATTAACAAAATATTTTGGGGGCAATTTTGGCCCCCACGGTCTAAAAAATGGTGGCATTTTCAAAATGTTTGGGGGCCATCAAAAAATTGAAAGATATGTTCTAATAATAAGCACATGAAAAGCAAAACCAACTAAGATAGTGTCTTCAGCAGAAACCACTATAAATGAAATAAATAATGGGTTACATAAAGTTATGGTTGCAAAATATCACTCAGATTTCCTATAATTCAACCAGTTTAAATGTGATGATTTAACCATTAATCTACTGATAGCAGTACTAATGTTTCACCACATTACAGTTACTTTTACTGTTAAAAAGGCCACATTACTATAAATTTCTTAGCTGCAATCCTGGAAGTAAGTTAATTTAAAATTTAACATTCATTCTACCTTAATTTTTCATTAATTTGTCATTGTGTAGACACAGATCACTCAAGAAATGGTTAATTTATACTTATGGTACAGCAAAGCCCCCTCCCCTTCTCTGTCAGATTACTCTCACGTAATCAGTGCAATCTCGTTGATTATGTCTGCAAAATGAGTTGTAGACGTGACGGTAAATTAATTTAATAAAAATAAAATTATACTTCTCATACTAATTATACTACTAATGTCAGATTGTAATTACTGTTAAAAATATAAATACATATAGCTGTTTCGAAAACTTGGGGGCAATTTTGGCCCCCGGAACATGGCTTTTGGGGGCATTCTTGGATAAATTGTGGGCCAAATGGCCCGTGGCCCTTAATAATTTCTGACACTGCTGGCAAGTTTATTTTATCTTTTGGCCTCAAAGTGATTAGATTAATTGATTAGTTGTCAACTATTAAATTAACTGCCGACTGATTTGATGATTGATTAATTGGTTTGGTTCATATCACTCCTGTTCTCCAGCAGAATTTTAAGATTCTCACCTTTAAAGGCCCTCCATAATCAAGCCCCTTCCTACCTGTCTGAACTCCATATCTACACACACTCCCGTACTCTTAGATTCTCTTCTGCAATCCATCTCACATCACCATCTGCTTGCTTGGCTACCATGGGCTCTAGAGCCTACAGCCTCTGGAACTCTCTCCCTCATGACATTTGCAATACTGACTCCCTTTCTACTTTCAAATCCCATCTGAAAACACACCTCTTCAAGCTGGCTTATTCAGTCCGATTAAATGGTGACACACATATGGTGATATGCACTGTATGATGATGATTTTTTTAAAACTTTTATTGTATATTATGTAATTGTTTGATTGTATGATCTATGGATACACTGCTACTTGTTTTTTTAAAGTGTATCTTGTGAGCTGACCTTGAGTGCTTTGAAAGGTGCCTTTGAATAAAATGCATTATAATATTATTATCAATTGGTTTCAGTATTTTTTTTATAAATAAAAAAATCAAAATTCTCTGATTCCAGCTCCATAAATGTGAATATTTTCTGGTTTCTTTACTCCTCTGTGTCAGTAAACTGATTATATTTGGGTTGTGGGCAAAACAAGACATTTGAGGGTGTCATTCTGGGCTCTGGGAAACACCCATCAAAACATTTCATCATTTTAAGGACCAAACAACTAATCAATTAATCGAGAAAATAATCAACAATAAAAAGTAATGGTTAGTGTCAGCCCTAGTGCATACACATTTATACATGTAGCTAAAACTAATGCAGCCTAATTCAACAATTATGATGTAGGCTATGTTATAATGTTAAGTTAGAGAGTTTTTGGTACAACTTTATGGACATTTGAGAAGCTGTAGATTATGGTGCAGATGTTTAACTGTACTGAGACGTGTTTTTAACATGTTTGTACACCATTTCTGTTGGTAACAATAGTCATCAAAGTGGAGACAGGATAACACAACAGACAGAGAAACTGCAACCCCAAACACCACAAAGTTGAATGAACACAAAAACAGTCACAACAACTGAACAATAACTGAATATTATAAACACAGGCTCTCAAATTACTTCACAGGATCTTATTAATCTTTACAGTAATATGGGATTAATACAGGCTACCCTAATATAAACCTTAACCTCACAGTCACTGAACTTCACAGTTGAACTTTGACCTTAAAATTTACGCAATAAATGTCTTTTGTTGGCGACTGATTCACTGCAGGAAACCCAGCCTCTTTAGATAATTGTGTCAAGGACAAAATATGATGGACTGCTTTCTCGATTTACCCTCAAATGTTCAGTAATAAAAGGTTAGAAGAAGAGGAGGAGCAGGAGAGTCCTCATATACACGGTACAGCACGTCACGTTACCTGCTATTAGATAATGATTTATCGCCGTGACAACAGCCTGAATGACACAAAAACAACCCTTGTTTTATGACAATAGTTTAATAAATGTCAGAAACCTCTTACTTGAGATTCCGCCGTTGTTCTCAATCAGCTCCACAACAACTTCTTCACTTCCTGAAGGCAGTCAGCTGAATTCTTTGGTCTTTATTAATACAGAAGAAAACCGCCAGCGCCCCCCGCGGCGGTACGCGGTACTACATCCAACACCACTCATGGTATTTCTGAGTCAGGTGAAATAGTGTAGTGCGTCATTTACTTTTCTCACTTTCATATGAGGTGTGGGACTTTATCAACATTAGCATCACCAGTGGCGCACACAGACTCCCAGAGGGCACAGGGGGAATTTCTCTTAAAGGGGATCTTTTGGACTGGACTGTCCCACTGACTCAGCAAGTGTCATGACAAAGAAACAAGTGAAGTGAAGTGTTTGATATTGATCTGGAGAAGCTGGTGCTCATCAGATCTTCTCTATAATTTCCTCTGACTCTTGTCTTTTTGTGACTAGTGTAAGGAAGTTCTCATTTCTCAAATATGCTGGTTGGATCTTGTTGCAGGACGCGGTGAGTTTTGTAATCATATACTTTCTGATGGTACAAGTATATTTATTTATTTGAATCTCCTATGAAATTCATATCTTAAATTTAAGGTAGAAAAATAAAATGCAGTACTGGTGTTATTACTTGTTCCCGTAACCCCAATGGAAGACAACAAATAAGTAATTTAGAATATGGTGACTCATACACTTGTTTAATACATAATAATTGTAGGTCTAGTTGGTCGTCAAAATTGGAGTTGCAATTAAAATGAATCTGCAGCAGGTTGCTAAACATGTACTACAAATTTGACATCTTGGTCTGTTTTATTTGTTTGTTTGTTTTTTCAGTTATTATAAACCCTATATATGTATTTTTTTATTTTTATTTTAGATATGAGTTTGATAACTTGATGTGACATAAGTAACAACATTTCTCCCTCTGCAAAAACTGCAAGAAAGGACATTTTTAAATAATTTAATATGAAATAACTGCTTTGCTGAATTTAAAAAAACAAATTAGGGGAAGAATTATAGGCTAGTGTGAAAAAAACTCCATACAGGGGCTTATTGGAAATGCTGTAGTTTAAACAACTTTATGATTTTATAAACCTTTTTACATTTTGTGTCTGAGATGATGAGCATTAATGATGTCTATACAAAAACTCTAATTTTGTGTTTCAGTCTAAAGAGGCACCTTGAACAGAAGGGCAGAGTAATTATTACTATAAATGTTTTAATTTAAAATGACTGATCATTTTACAGACAGTCAGGATTTATTAACTGCAGTACCACTTATCGACCCACAAGTGTCGCTGTCGTCCTGCTGAATAGACGATCACATCACTTCAGCATTGCTGCTCTCATTGATACAAGTTTGATTTTGTTGATCATCAGATACGTTTGCGCACATTTTGTGCTACGTAGGATAAATTCACGTTTATAAAAGCGAACTGGCTTCTCTTTTACTAGCACAACCAGTGAAATAGATGATTTAAGAGGTGGTTCAAGTTATAATAAACCTATATCTGGAGTCTTGTGTTCAAGATGCACTTTGTTTGTAATTGGAAAAAGTGCATCAAATCTAAAAATGGCCAAAAGTCAGTATAATACAAAATATCTACAATCCGATTATTAAATATTTTTAATCAAATGCATGGATAATAGGCCTATAGCAAATTATAAATAGAGTATTTAGTTTATAATCAACATAAAAAAAAATGATAAAAGCACATGAAAGAGGTGTGTCGGTTTTTACATTAAACATTTTTTCAGAGTCACTGTTTTCCACTAGATGCTTTTCTGACTGCCTATATTACAAGCCTACACATGGAAGCTTTAGGCCCTTGAGTACAATTAAAGGACCTATAGATAGTAAAACCACAGAGTGTTCTTCTAAGGCCTCAACAATTACATGTTTCAACACTTTATCATAAGAACTCCTAAAACAATTGGTTGGGGGCAAGTGAATCATCTTTTACAGTTACTATATTCTTTACATATCATGTATCATAATAAAAAAAGATACATTAGTTCAAATATAACAAATATATAATATAACCTGTTGCCCTATAACAGGAGGTAAGAAAAGAAAATTATGACGGGGTCAATGTGAGCTCACAGACTACTCAGGATCAGGGCTTTACATACAATTGAGAACACTGAGATCATGTCCTTGTGTTTTTATGTGAATTTAGATTTATTCAGAAGCCTTAAGTGCATTTTACACAATGTACAATGAAGAGTTAGACATAGTGGAGTTTTTAAGTGCATTACAAGCTATTCTTAAATGGGACTACTTTTATACCATGCAAAAAGAACTAATGAATGAGTTCAGTATTTCACCACTGCAATCTGAAACAGCATTTAGACCATGGCGTATGTAGGGAACTCTGGGACACACTACTGTACTGAAAAAGATTAATAAATGATTAAGTTTAGAGAGTAGAGTCTGTTATTTTTTCAGGAGTGGTCTGCAACTATAACGGTTCGATAGTCTTGTGTGTAGTAACCTATGTATTCTGTCTCTGGTGGAGTCAAATGCTCATACAGAAGACTTATATACAATATATAAAATAAAAATGGGGCCAACTGCAATTGTTTTGAGGTGGTGAGATAAGGCTTAGCTACGCCCCTGTAGGCCTATGTGCTGTCCATGTCCAACCTTATTCTATTTCTCAAAAAACTTATTCAAGTAAAAAATGTAGGCTCATGGACTAAAATCTTTTATAGCTCCACCAGCGTCTGTATGCTTTATTTTCTTATTGTTACCAATTTAAGATACCACTTACAAATAGTTTGTAAGTTGCAACTAATGGGCCTTAATCGTTCACTAATGCTAAATTAATTATCATCCATTAATGAGAACAACTTTTAGGTTGCCAGGTTGTTAAATAAAATCCCCCTGAAATGAGCATGTAGTCTTTTTTTTGTAGCTTTTTAATTAATTAGGAAAACCCTCTAATGGACGACTTCCACTTACTGGCAGCAAACCTGGAACAAAATCCATTTATTTAACAACGTATTAACATATATAACTGCAGACTTAAATTAGGCTTATTAGAAATTGTGAAGCACACAAGTATGAATTAAAAGAGTGCCATCATGTGATATTATCATTATGCAGTATCACCAAATAGAGGGCATACACACCACTCAGAGAGATTTTTCACTACCTGGCAACCCTAAAGTTTTCTTATTAATAGCTTGGCTTGCAAGTGGAAAGATAAAATTATTAATTAAGCTGTGATAAAGCTGTTCATTATAACGTTTTAACCTTTTATAAATGGTGACTTATGAGACAGTGGCGCCCACGTGGACTATCTTCCACTATTTTCTGCTTTTATTCTGTGCTCCTGTCTTACTTGATTTTTTTTTTTAAACTTCTTTATTTATTAGGCTAACGTTATATTTAAGGAAGGGGACTTCAAGTTATATTCCCTCCGTGAATAAAGCTGATTTACTAATCAATAACTGATAGGCAGGCTCGTGTGTGGGTGTACCCGCTGCTGTTTCCACTGCGGGCTTGTGCGTTTGACCGCGCGCTAGTTTCTGTGGCGGCAGGGGTGGTGAGAGGGAGAGAGCGAAAACCTTCATGTGCGTCGTCGTATGTGAAAGTAGTTCCGGGCACTTAACCCAAACGGGGGAGAGTCCCGGATGTTGGCTCGGCCGCCGAGAGAAAGGCGAACGGGAGAAGGTGGAGAGAAGCTGAAGAGGGACGCCACGGCACCGCGAGCACACCGGCGAAGCAACGGCTACGGCGCTTCTTTGCACAGGACGATAACGTCAAGAGCACAGGACACTCCTGGGGAGCCCCCGCTAGCTGGAGAAGAGGAGGTGGAAGGAAGGGGAGGGGGCAGTTACTCTGAAACTACCGTCAGGATTACAGAGAGCCACCGTCACAGCAGCTTTCACCCAGAGTAAGTGAGCTACACGGGCATGGAAGTTGAACTAAGGCCCACGAAATGGACGACTTTAACGGGGAAGTGAGCTGCACTGAAGTTCTGGGGATTGAGCCCGGTGAACAGGCCTTGGCACACAGCTTTCCGCTCGCCGTGGCGGGGCGTGCGGGGGACACCTTTTTCCTCAGAGAGCCAGTCAGTGTTTCCCTGTGGTCAGTGTTAGTACACCCCGGCCGTGTTACTGTAACTCTCCAAGTTGACAGCTCCTGCGTTAGCCTGCTAGCACCGCCGTGCAACCGGTGACAACTGACAGGGCAACTTTGACAGCTAGCTAGCCAGTTTTGGTAGCCAGCTAACTTTAGCTGAGCGTTGTCGGGGCTCTCTCTTGGGCCAGGACTAGGTGTGTGTGTGCGTTTTCCTCGCATTAGGTGGATATAATGACCTATCCCAGCCCTCCAACAGCTATCGGTAGCTAGCTGTTTGGTATGTGAGACGTTGTGTGTCCTGCATGAAGTGTGTGTGAGTGTGTATAAACCCAGTGTCATTTGGCTTTCCTGCATGCTCTGATGGTATTTGACTCACAGCTGTTGCAGTGTGTTTTCTCGTCTGTCAATCGTCTGTTTCGCAGGCGGCTGGTAAATTCCTCAAGAAAAATAATGATCCTCGTATGTAAAACTAGTCGACCTTCATGGGAAGGCGCAGGTTTGTCATGTGGCCGGACAATCAACAAGTGCAAAGCATGTTTCAGGTGAATTTAATGCGACTGAATTTGATCTCGGGACTGTGTCTTTGCCTCTGGTGGTGGTATACCCTTGTGGATTGCCCTGAGATGGCACAGACGGTGTTGCAGTTAAATATTTGGACCTGTGTGCAAGACATTTCTCAGGGCATGCCTCCTTTCGCTTTGATGTTTCACCAGTTGGTGTGTGTGATCGCACAGGGCAGACACTGATTAGTTAATGCTACGACTTTAAACTAAACAGCTGTGGCATTTGCGTGCAGCTGTATACAAAACGGTGCCCTTGCTTTATCCTGACGGCCTTTATTAGAGGATGGATGACTGAACTCTTAATTTGCCCCGATGTCAACTTGTGCAAGTTTTATCAATGAAGTCACGTTGTTATTTTAACGACTGAGGTGCAATGAGGTGCAAATTATTTGCTGCTCATCTTATACTCCCAAGCTCCCGAGTTTATTTTGTCATAAAGCCAGCATAAAAAAGGTTGAATTTATGACTAAAAGAAAACATTATAAATTCCCCCCGAATATCCCAACCCTGCCAGACCTTCTGCTTCAACTAACAAAATGCCCATAGCGTTAGTCAGCACCCACAATCAAAGGTCAGACCTGGTTTGCTTCTTAATCACCCATCCTTTAAATAGCAGGCCTACAGCAAGCTGTCTAGATCGAGGCTATCTGTGCATGCAGCTGTAGAAAGACACATGGTGTCTGAGTTTTTATGTTACTCCATTCAGGTAAGCAGAGCCAGATCAGCCTCATTTATCAGATTGTCTAGAAATTAGTACAAACATTTGCCACTCTGTCTTTTTCTGTGAATCGTCCCTCTGCTGTACTTTCTGTTGCTCTCTGAGAGGCTTCATGTGCAGTGTATGTCAACTGGCAGCATGAATCCTTGATGCCATTTATGTAATTAATTTGTTTTACAAAGAGTGATGTTTTTACAAGGGATAACTTGTGTCAAATGAAACAGTTATGTGAAACCGAGCAGTGGAATAGTTGGCATAGACAGCGGAAGTGGCATTTTGCTGTTGTTTGCTTGCCGGCTGTTAAAGAATAGACCTAGAGTGTTGCCGATGCATCCTTTTTTTACAGATTGCGTGCAGAAATATGAATCACGGCACACATTGTAGTAGTTGTTCCTTAGAGCTCTACTATAGCATCCATCAAATTCTGTTCCTTTATAGCCTAAGCAATGTGGTTATTAAGTTTTGCTCATGACTGGAGATGTTGTGCAAGCTCAGACTTAGAGGCTCCTGTTTATGCATGTTTTTGGTGATTTATAAGCCTTTTTAGTAGTTGTTATTCGCTATTTTACACCAAATCAAATTGAGCAGAGTTAGTGACTTTTTATGGATCCCTTTTTTAAAAACAACCTCAAGGTTTCGATGAATGGATTGAACAGTTGCGAAGAAAGTATAGAGAAGATTACACATCTGTTTATTCTCACAGTAACCATTTAAAAGTGTGAATAGGAGGATGTGATGTTGCTTCTCTTTAATGGTGGTTTTAGCCTGCAGTGGTCTTTGAGAAGTCTATTGCCTAATGGTTTAAAAACACGACACCTACAGTTCTCCTCCAAGGTCTTCCTGTGTTTTTTGTGTGTGTGTGTGTGTGTGGCGCCGATAGCACATTCTTCTATCATCTCTGAAGAAAAATTACTTTGTCATCATCTGCAAGGTGATAGTGTATAATTTAATACATTTAATAAAATAGTGACATGATATGGGGCTAATTTGGACAGATGTCAAGGGTCAGCAAGCAAGTATAGAGTGAATTTAGAACAGGTTTATACTTTTTAAATACCAGCTCCTCATTTGGAATTCAGTATGTGGCCTTGTGCCTAGCCCCGTCTCACTGAGAGGCTTTTTAATTTCTCCCCTTGTTGAAGTGATTATTCAAATGGCCATCCGTGAGATGCAGTTATCAGACTCCTGGTGGTAGTTGAGCCTGTGGCAACATGAATGCCCATCACAGCCCCCCTCCCTACCACCCTGTGTTGTTGGACTGCACCCAACAGGTACTCTCTGTAGCAACCCCTATTAGACCGCCACATCTTACCCCTCCGGCTGAAAACCTATTGTGTTATGCGATTGGCAGATGGCAATTTATTCATGAGGATGTCTGATATATTTTTCTGGCATGGTGTAGTGGTGATGCTGTTGGTCAAAGGCCTCTGTTTAGTATTTTTTTCTTTTTTACAATGACTTATTTTTGGTCTCAATCCAAAGTTGGCTTGTTTCAATTCCTCTCTGCTCTGCAATGTGAAGTTATTTTAGCTTGGAGTTTCTTTCTTTTCACCTCATCTCCCATAATCTTGTCCTTCGGTGTGTTTTTCACCTTGGATTGGGCGAAAACACCAGGATCTTCCTTTTCTTTTTAACAGCTGCTTACTCTGCGTGGAGGCTAGGTCGTCCTCTAATGCGGCTCGGGCCAAATGACTGGACAGTTTTGTTAGAAATTCCTCCCTGTACTCTGGTTATATATCCAGTGTGAAGTTTTGCTCTCATGGAAGCCGTGTTGGTGAGAAGGGACTGGCAGTCTTCATTAGCAACGCCGTGCATCACTAGAATGCAGATGAGCTATGAAGCCATTCATCTGCTGGAAATGCCTCCCTGATTCCAATTTGAATCTTGTTTGCAGTCACATTGTGTGAGCCCACTTCTCCATGTTAAAGAAGTCTCTTTATGTGAGAGATCAGAGGGGGATAATTGCACTTAAGTGAACCTCATTTAGTGCTGGCCAGAGCAATTACTGTAACTGCAGTTCTAGGCGTTTTTTGGGGCCTGGAGCAGCTGTCATTGAGTCTCTGTAGCTGAGATATCAAATGGTGAATAGAATGACATTGGCATGGCATCATGGGAATGGCAGATCCTTGGATGGATTTTAATTAGTTTGTGCAGGTTTTTGCTCTGCTCCTTTTTTTTCCATCTGAAGAAAAGCGTAATTAAAAATGACAATTAGAAATGCATTATTTTAGCAATGATTGAAAATAAATTATTCTCAAGGTGCTGTAAGGTGAAAAAAGCCAGTACTCTTTCTTCAGGCAAAACCCCACCGGGCTTGAGGGAGTTGTTTTATCATTAATGTTATTCAGGAGCCAAATTTTGAGTTTTGCTCAGCTGGGTGCTTTAATCTATTTTTGCTGTAAATTAATGAATTTTTAAAGAGCCCCTCGCTGGATACGGGTGGATGTGGGAATGCAGCACTGGTTCAGTTTTCAAACAAGCCTCTACTCCACCGTCACCCCCACCCCTTCACCACCCACCCTCCTCACGGGATGGAGAGAGCGAATTTACTGAAGCACTACACTTTCATTTTTTATTCATCCAGCAATACACTGCCTAGTTCTCCTCATCCCACCCCCCTTCTCCTAGTCTTATTGAGTTGAATCTGTCAGTGAACTAGTCCTATGTGCTCCAATTCACGTCCTGGGTTGGAGTTGGATGTGGACATGAATCAGTGAGGGAAGCATGTGATGTTTAATTCAGCTGGTTCACTGCCTAATATTATCGGCACATTTGCTCGGATACATGTTTTATCTGCAAGTGTTTAGCCATTTATTTCCCTAGTCTGACTAATCAGGGCCCTTCTTTCTACAGGGGAACTACTGTAACTACCCACACCAGAGCTTGCTGGGTAAGTTTAGAAAGTGTAGGAGAAAAGGGTGGGGGTGGGGGTTGGTGGGGATTTGGCGGCTCTTGTAGTGCATGGCGGTTTCTGTGACTCATTCAAGCCTTGTGGTAGCAAAAAGACTAATAAATTTTGTGGCAAGTCTTTTATGAATGTTCAGTTTTATCTTATCTCTGCATTAAGTTCAAGTCTAGGAACTGGATGAGGTACATGAACAGAATTGTATATATAAAAATAGAATATGTGTTAGGTGGTTTCACTGCACTAAATGTGCAAACGAAATCAGGGCTTACAAATCCCCTCCATTAAAGGGGAGTTAATGTGGTGCTTAATGACATGTAAGACAAAAGATTTCAGAGTAAATGCGCTGCTGTGTCATTTGAGATTTTACGTACTCGGGTGCCAATGAATAACCAAGTCCTAAACGAACGCGACTGGCTTGACTTTTCAACACCGTGACGGATTTCATAATTCATCATATCGTATGCTTTGTCCTTGAGTTTTGATAGGTCATCAGTATCAGTGTATTTCTCTTAAGCTTTTTTGTTCTTTACTCAGTGAAAGCAATTGATATGCTTGTATGATTCACACTCTTAGGAGACTTTCGAGCTGTGTGCAGGAAGAGAAGCTCACTAAGCTGACACAGC